TCGGGATGTACAGCACGAGAAGAGACAAAAATTTGATGAAATGAGTTTGTTTGTTCTTTGAGTGTATCAAAAAAGAAGTGCCTGTTTTTTTTTTCGTCACATCACTGATTTCAAATAAAAACGAAAACCAATAATGCTTTTTTGCTTTCACGTTTTTTTTTCCAACCATTGGGAGGAATTGACCAAAGTAAAGGCGGTGATTAGTGAGGACAGTGAATTGGGAAGCTGGGTAGAGGACTGATGATGGTGGCAATCACCCCAACAACTTCGGCTGTAATTACTGCAAAAGCTAAATTGGCAACATAGGTCAGGAGGTCATCCAGTTGGTGTCTTGATTCAGGATATTTGCAAGTGATCGTAGTTTCATCGTTTTAACGGATGTCTAGGAAATGTTTTAACTGTTAAGATTCAAGTTTTGCAGATTCAACTTTTGTTTATTATAAACAACAACGTTTTTTTAGAAAAAAAAAGCTGCTAAATTTTCTTGCTAATTTTTCTTTTTGGAATTTTTGTTTTTTTAAAGTTTTAGTTTTGAAAATTTTTTAAAACAAGAATCGATTAAAGGGGAAATTGTAAAGCGACAGAAAAAGAAAGATATTTTATTGAATGGAGGTTTTTTCTTGGTTTCAAAAAAATACTGTTCTTTCTGGTTTGTGAATTAATGATTTTTGATAGAGCTTAAATTCAGTGTTAATTAACGTGGGAGTTAAAGGATGTTTTCTTTATCTTTGCCAAAATTTGTGAATTTTGAAAAATATGGTGAAAATAAAGTAAAAATTTTATTCTTTACTGTTTCTTAGATATTTCTTTTCTTTCTGGTTGCCTTCTTCCCTGGTTCTATTCAGCACTTTCATTTACTTTAGTTAATTAGATCAAGTATATTCTTTTCTACTTCATGTGATGTATATTTTTTGAATTAATTTGACTTTTTTTCTTGCTCTTCTTCTTCGCTGCTAAGTAAAATGGTAATTGAAGAAAAAGATAAAGAACAAAAATAATGAATTCAATCAAATTTTGGAAAATAAAAGGTTAACAAGATTATTAAGGCAGATAGGCCAAAAAGTGTTAACTTAAGAGTTCTTTTGACCACATATAGAATGCAAATCCGGTTGAACAGCGACAACAACGTCGATGATGAAGAAGATGAGAAGGAGGAGGACAGGGAGAAGGGTGGGCAATGAGAAAAGTGGAAAGCTATCAACCAGAATAGGATTAAATAACCAATTAAGTGTCTATTAAAGCTTTTGTATTACTTTTTGATATTTATTTCTCTTTTTTTCTACAGATTTTGAATTTGATTTTGATTTTCATGACAGAAATATAAATCTTTCAACTTCAGAACTAAAAATATAAAAATTACAAATGCTAAAAATCTGAGCAAACAAATCGTATCTGCTAGTGGCTGACGTTACTATAGTTTTTCTCGTCCATCGTTGTCGTTATAGCTTTGCTTGTTTTTACTGTTGCTTTTCGTTCGGTACCCAACAACGGCGACGACAACAATGGTATTGATGACGATGACGGACCAGTGCTGCAGCAGCGCTTCCGATACTTATGCATGTGGCGAAGGCGAAGAGGAGATGTAGGGAGGGGAGGAAGGGGGTGGTGGTGGTAATTTGTAGACCCATCTTTGTCTCTTAGCTGTTCCTTCGGTTTTACCCTGTCAATGAGTCTTATATTTTTCTTCTTCTGCGGCATCTGTTTGTGGCGTTTATTAAGTAAACTTTAAGATCCAAAAAGATATCAAAAACACTTTTTTTTCTGCTTTGCTTTTCCCAATAATATCAGTTTATTGTGCTATCTTTTTGGCATTGTGCACAAAAGTTGGGTTTAGTATACAGTGCAGCAAGCACTTATTCATATTGGAATTTAGCTAAGCTGTAGCGTCTATATATTTAATGGTAACCAAATAGTGGTGCGTATCAGGTTGATGTTGCTTTAACGCTTAGGAAATATTGTTGGTGACTATGATGACAGTGATGTTGGAAATTTTTGTTGTTATAATTGTTGTTAGACGACTGAAATTAATGGTAGTGTTTGGATGTATGGTAGACGTGATAAGCTGGGCTGGTGATATCACTGTGGCGGCTGGACAGTCTGTATTGCTTATTTAGCTGTATTTCTGACAGATTAAACTATTCGTAACAAAGAAATGAGAATGAAAGATAAATAATTTTTTTTTTGTTTTTTTTTCTTCATTTTTTTTGTTGAGGAATTTGGTGTGT